CCATGTGAAACGGCAGCCTTGTCCTTAGTGAACACAGACATACTGAGCCCGCACCGATTTGGGGAGTGGTGAGGACAATGGCAACACCAAGCAGCAAATGGGCGTCAGTTAAAATGGGATGGTGTGGCACTGCTAATTCCTTACCCAGAATGCAACATGGTCTCATAAGCACACGGTCAGGGTCTGGAGCCACAGCACATGTGCCGTGCGAGACTCCACCTCAGTCACAGGACGCTGACACGCAGCGCCTGCTTTGGAGTGCCGATGGTTTCTTTCTGAATCCCTTGCTCTCCACCCACCCCCTCCGCTGTGCCAGCACGACACGTCCCTTGCAGCACAGACGGCCACCCTGACAGGAGTGATGTCCACCCTCACAAAGCCGTCTGTCACACAGCCTGACACCTGCCCCCCCCCCTGCCCCCCGGACCAGGCCTTGTTACAGGGCCATGATGAAATTAGCTGAAATACCCATCATCCACCCGGGCTTCTGTGCATCCGACGACCTGAATGGCAGATCACTGTCGCTGTGAAGCCAGACATCATGTGACTGTGGCTCTCACGTGAGGCCCCGCCTCCAGCAATCAAACTCACAGCCCAGCGGAAGGGGGGGGGGGGGCTACATGGAAGTGACAGAGATGCGCCGTTAAGGTGCAGACCCCTATCTGTGCTGGGACGTCCTAAACTCTCCCGTCAGGCACTCGGCACGGAAGGGCAGTCCACCTATAAATGTTCCTCAGCGTTTCTCGTCACACAAGTGTGAAAAGGGAATTACAGACAGACACCTGAAATACTCCACAATAAACAGACACATCTGGACATACTGCTGGGGGGAATTATTTCTTGGGTCCTTTTACATTTCTAAGCTTCATAAATTTAGTCCTCAGTAAGTTTTACATTTTTAAACTTAATTTAAACTGGTATAGAGAGCTGACGCTAATTTCTCTTTCTCTTAATGAAGTGTTAATGAAAATGACAAAACATAACACTTGTGTAACAGAAGTGTAGCTAATGAGCGTAAATATGACTGTTTCAGTATGAATATAAATATGGATATGATATAAATACCAGTATGGACAGCTTTTGGTAATGTCCTGCCAGGTCAGTCCCCTTAGTAACTCTACAGAAAGCTGGTGTTTGGAAAAACAGCATCTTACACATCTGTGTTATTTAATGATGGGAGTGGCAGGATGGATATAGAGTATTTGTAGATCACACAACAGGCCGTTTGGTCGGTAGGTGACGAGCCTCACGTACTGTTTACTACTCTGACACAAACCACTAAGTACTGCCTGTAGAGACGCAGCTGGAATAATCACTAATAAAAATACCATGTGGGCAGGGAACATCCGGAAGCCACACCAGCACAGAGGCGGACTGCACACCCGACATACCCAAGGTGAGAGATTTGTGCGTAGCGCAGAATATGATAGCCACAGTGTCTGCAGGCGTGAATGCCGACTTCTTCCTGCAAGAGGGACAGAGGAGCGTGAGACGCTGAAGACGCGTGCCGTCAAACATGAAGGGACGGGCCGGCTACGCGGCACGCAACTCACCTGCTGCTGAAGATGAAGGCCAGCAGCATGAAGCCCAGCTGGATGGAGAAGACTGGGGGACACACAGACAAGCATGTTACCATGGAGGAGGAACAGCCTGAAGCGCTACCTGGAAGACGCGTCCAAACGCCAGCCACAAACAGAGGGTAACACGCAGCGTCACAAAGCTAGTAATAATTTAGCAAGATCCCCCCCCTTCCAAACTGTTAAGGGCCCCACAGAAATCCCCACATTTTTTTGCCCCTGCTTTGCCATTTAATGGTCATACACTCGCTTTTCCTAATTAAAATACAGGCATCATTACACACGACTGTTTACGTATAAAGGGTTTCCAGGCTATCAATAGGGTGACTGTATAACAAGCCCAAATGTTTAACCGGCCCCCCGACAAGGGGGGGGTGAGTGGCTTGGCGGGCAAAGCCTCTGTGCTTATGATGAGAAGATCACCGGGTCAAGCCCCAGTCTTGGCAGAACAGCTCCTAACCCCCAGCTCCAGGGGCACGTTAGCCGACCCTGCGGTGTGACCCCCAAGCTATGCTCAGCAAAGAGAAGCATTCCAATGTACTTGTGCAAATAATAATAAAAATTGATACTAAATGGGAAATACAGCATGTTTAAACTCTACACGTCACGGGCGGTAAGATCACACACACCACTCAGCTGCCCAGGGAGCAGCTGCATCAGGGTCCGACCCGAGCTATTTATGACTTCAAGACAGGTGAGCTATTGCCCCCGTTATTCACCCCCCCATCTCACACTCACATCGTACAAATGAGGTCCCCTTAACCCCGCAGATGACCTCACTGCGAGACTCTAAAAGCTAACGAATCGCTTTAATACATAAAAGAATAAATATGAGTCTGGACAAGATTAAAGTAGTTGCGGACTTATAATTAGCCCGATGGCCCATAGCTAGGGATCACTATTACATCTCTGTCCGCAGTGATTAAGGGGCCACGTCGGGAAAGACGGCCACCGAGGATCGAGCACGGCGCTGGGGGGTGGGGTAGGGATGGGGGGGGGGCACTCACTGATGAAAACCACCAGCAGCAGGCTGAGCCGGTCCAGGTGGATGTTGGGGTTGGAGAAGGTGTCGCAGAAGGTGGTGTAGATGATGAT